TGCTGGGATGGGGTGACAACAGCCCACCCCAGCCCCACAGGAGGTGCAGGGGTAATAAACGATGCTGGACAAGTTGCCATCGGCAAGATCCAGGAGTGTTATAAAACCTGAATCTCCTGAGCCTTCAGCTGGGACTGCAGCTGCAGAGCAGGAAGCAAACAGGATCCCGGCTGGCATTGTGAAAGCAAACACCATAAATCCGAGGAAGTGCTGTGATTGCTGTTTTAGGCACTGGGGAGCTTGGCTCCTGCTCCCCACAAGCGATTTATTTTCCCTCTAAACAGAAAAAAAAACAAAAACCAACAAAAAAACCCCAACCCCAACTTATCGCTGGGCCAATCTGCCCCTCAGGCCCTGGGGCAGCTGTGGGATGTGGGCACATCTCCTTGCACAGAGCCTTGAAGATGCTTCAGCCCCAGAGCCCCCGGGTCACTGGGGCAGGGTGCGGGCAGTTGCCAGCTCTGAGCCATCTCCACTCACCTGAACACTCAATGTTCAGCGGAGCAGCTGGACCCCAGGAGGAGCTGAGCAGGAGAGTCAGAGAGAGCTGGGCAACCAGGAGCTGGGAAGGGGGGACAGGAGGGGACAAAGTGCTACCCAGGGAATGACAGCCAGCTCGCTCCAGCCTTCCCCCTGCAGCCAGTAAGCCAGTTAGGATAGTTCCCAGAGGCTGGAACTCCAGGTGGGATCAGAGCTGACCCCACCAGGACTAAGCAATGAGGCTGTTGCTCCAGCAAGGGGAAAAAGCAGAGGGGACATGATGAAAACCTCAATGTCACCTTACTCTGCAGGCTGGCTGCCTGCTGGACAGTGCTCGGTGCTGCTGGAGGAGTAGGTGCTGGGAGGCACTGGCATGTCCTGAATGTCCTGTGGGTGTCCCCAGCCTCAGCACTCACACCCCAACCCTCCTCACAGGGAAGAGCTGTTTTGGGTTGGGCACAGTGTTTTGCAGAGGGTCTATAAGCCCTGGTTGGGTGGTGTCTGTGGGTCCCCTGCCGTGGGATAGGGTCTGTAATGGGACGGCGGCTGTGGGTCCGCAACTGTGGGGTGGGGTCTCTAACAGGATGGTGTCTGTGGGTTCTCCAGCAGTAGGATGGAGTGTCTAATGGGATGGTGCCTGCGGGTCCCCAGCCATGGGATGAGGTCTCTAATGGGATGGTATCTGCAGATCCAGAGCTGCAGGATGGAGTCTCTAATAGGATGGTGCCTATGGATCTCCAGCCATGGGATGGGGTCTCTAATGGGATGGGGCCTCTAATTAGATGGTGTCCATGGTCCCTAGCTGCAGGTGGGCTCTGTCCACCCCAGGCTGGGTGTCTCCTCCCCGCAGCTGGTGACAGGCAGGGCTCTATGGTCTGGGCAACCCCATGCCATGGCTCCCTCAGGCTCCCTTGCCGTCTTGCCCTCTCTGGTGTGGTCGCATCCTCCCTTACTTGCCCCCATGCTCCATCCCTCTCCATCATCCTTTGGCACTCTTCTGGGCTGTTTATCCCAGGTGTTGGCTGCTCTGTGCCAGGCCAGGTTTTGGCACCAGTGGCTTAGCCACCTGTCCCCGCTGTCCTTGGCCCTGGCAGGGTGCTGGTACCCACCCTGGCACCCCAGCCCCACAGGTACCCCAGAACTCTAGGTGTGCTGCAGCCCCAACTCCCCTCGAGGAAACATACCAGGAGGGCACGAGGTGTTTAGGAAAACAGG